CTCCATTATGATGCCACAACCAATATAAATAATTTGGTATCAACAGACATTCTGTTCTGCTTTCAGATTTGTACTTGCGATAAAGTACTCATGGATGTTTTCATAATGTAAGGACTCTTATGAATTCATGATCTCATAACTGCTGTATAAAAAGTGAACAGCATGTTGAGCAGCGTGGAACAATCAGTAGGAAGAAACATAAGATCATAAGTTATTCCTTGTGTATTTGATCATTTTTTCAGTGCAGTAAATCTGTCTGTTGGTAATAATAAATAGCATAATAAAACACACACTCTACAATAATCGACGAATGTCAGTATCAAAAATTAGGGAATCGGTCATTAAAAGTTGATTTCCCCTGTAGTATTGTATAAGTTGGGTAGTTTACCAAAATAATAAGAATGAAGGATACAGATTTAATTTCACATTGATAAAACTATAGTATAGTTGCAATTACTGTATCAAAATCATGTCACATCTATTTTGCGCATGTGTTTGTTTTGCATAGGAAATGAAAAAAAAACGAAACGTATTGCACTTTGTAATTAGATATATATGAAAGAATATAATATTCATCGGAAATTATACAAATTTTCTTCCACACAAAAGATATTCATTCTCTTTTTCTTCTTGGAATGTTTTCTTTCTTTCTTTCTCTTCTTTATATTTTGTTCCTCTTCATTTACGCAGAATTGCTATTAATCACAGATCCGTTAATCTTGATGGGGAACGTGGCTCCGCTTCCCTTCAGCTTATAGAGGTCCTTGTCTTCCTGGTTGCCTTCTTCAGCGTCGCTTCCTTTTCCTCTTGCGGCGAAGGAGGTGGATTTGGCGGAGGCGTCTTCGTCTCGACCTCCTGTCGAAGTCTTGGAAGGGGAACAGGTCTGCCTCTCTAGAATCTCTTCTGTTCCCTGGACTCTAACGGGAATTACTGTGGTATGATGCTGAGAATCTCCTTTCTGTTAGAAAAGAGTTTGGTATGTTAGCAACTTTGCTTGAAGTAACTGTAAGTTGGTATACGACTTATTTTTCATTGAACATTCTCCACACTTAATTTGGTGAATTAAACTGAGAAAATAGTTAAGCTTAATGTACCTGGTTTGAGGATGAAGTTTCGTCGGGTCCGTGAGTCGAACTGGCTGTCGAAGGTACCTTGGACGGAGCGGAGATGGCGCAGGGTACGGGAGTGGCATTTTGCGGTTTATTTTCCTTTGCGACAGCGACTGTTGAAGCCTCATTTGATTTGAGATTTCCACTCTGCATAACGGTGACGGCAGGATCAGTTTTCTTTCCTTCAATACTTATGGGCACGGAAACCTCCTTCACCTGGAGCTTCGGCTGCTGTTAGTGGAGAACCCCATCAGTTATTACCTTTCAAATAGAGTCTTTCGGCTTGTGATGATGAAGCAAAGTGTATGGGTACAAGCCTTACCTTCTTAGGTGCCGAGATAGTGAGCACACCATCAGAAGACACGACTGAGGTAACGGCATCAAGTTCGATGTCTCCAGGAACGACGAAACGCCGAACGAACCGCTGAGAACACCTTGACCCGTCTCCCTGCTTCTCCTTGCGACCTTCGACCACCAACTCTCTGTCGTTCATTGCCTTCACACTGATCTCTCCGCCGTCACTGAAATCTTTCACGTCAAGAACGAACTGAAAAAGAACCGGAAACATGAATTTTACAGGAAGAAGATCAACTTCTAAATTAAATCACATATTTTTTAAAATTTTTTTGTGGTAGTATTTGAGTGTTACTTGTTACTCCTAATACCTTGTGTTGACGTTCATCCTCCGAAGAAGTGACAGCCTGGTTTTCTTCTCTTAAATCACGACTACGGAGACTTCTGTAGCGCGTTAGGTCGTCGCCAATGAAGGACTGTTCTCCCCACTTGTTCAGCACTTCCTTCACCGCCCTCTGGAAATCCTTCCAGCTTTCCTGGAAGAAGGAATCGTCGAAGAAGAGTCCTCTGCGCACGATCGGGAGCACGTTGTGTCCTGCGAAGGAATTTAGTGCCGAGGATCTTTTCTCAGATTCACAGGACTCGCTCTCTTCCTTGACACACGTTTCACTGACTGCCTTCTTGGAGACGGCGTCCCGACTGCAGTGTTCGCATCTGATTTCCTGCTTATTTGTGTTTTGTGGAGCTGTTGTTTTGGAAGACTTTGTCTGTGAATTCGTCTCTTCGATCTTGATGGGGATGATGGTAGTCCTTTGATTGTCTTCGTTTTCCTGTTAAAAAAAGACGCAAAGTTAATAGTATAAAGTTCCTTCGTGAAAATTACTATTTAAAGTTTTATATGAAACATTACGATGAAAATGGAAAACAAAAGAATCTAAAACACCTACCAGTTTGGGCACTGTGATGGTGAGGACACCGTCGGAAGACATGGCAGAAGTGATGGCCGCCATGTTGGTAAGGCGTGGCAGGGAGAAGCGGCGTCTGAAGGAATGCAGCGCCACACAGGAACTTCCCTCCTCCTTCTTTTCCACGCGTCC